TCAAATTTTTGTTCTGATAAAATCACGGGCTTGATCATATTGTGTTGATGTGATGCTTTGGTTTGGATATACGGTATGAGCAATCCCAATATCTCTGCCCAATCTGAAGATGAACACACCCACAAGAAGAGTTACTGTGATTCCTTTGCTAATAATAAAGAGATGTTAACTCTCAAAGTAGCTTAGCAGAATGTTGAGACTAGTAAGGAGTGTCGAGAAAAGAGTTGTACCTTATACCATGTACCTCAATACACCGTAATCACCCTGGTAAAAGACCCCCCCCTCCCCCCCCAATAGTAGACCCCCAGGTCTATAGTACGGAGGGGGGAGGAGGAGGGGGGGTACTTTATATGGATCGTTTGTAGTTTTACCCCCGTAAATGAGGCCCAACATAAGACCCCCCTCCTCCTATAGAGACCTTATCATTTTATAGCCAATTGTGATACCGTAATACCTCGGATATAAGCGCATCTGCACTTATAATAAAACAATGTTTTCTAAGGGGGTGCGCTTATAAATGAGTCAAATTATAAGCGCATGCGCTTATATAGTGACAAACACATAAATATGTTATAAATGCACCAAACTGTGCATTAGATTCTGCAATTTCATTCAAATCGAAATGTGTGGAGCGTTCTGAATCAGAATCGCGCGAGGGCGATTCTTTGCAGGCACACAAGGGCAAGGACATGTCACTTTCGCATAGGAATGTGTCATGCTCGCCCCAGCAGAATGTACGAACCAATAGCTTGCAGTCGCTCGTTCGAATCGCACATGCTTGCCATAGTGTACAACCAATAGCTTGCAGTCTCTCGCCCGCAGCGCACAGACATCAGTTGTTCCCGAGCCCCCTTGTCAGGTCAACTTCGCGCCGTTGCGCTTTTCCTGAGCGAGCCCGCCCTCGAGGGAGTCGAACAGAGTAGAAGTGGATGTGGACTCACTTCAAAACGGGAAGTCGTTACTCTTTTAATCCGGCTTTTTTTAATATGTTTATACATGTGCTTATAATAAATCAGGGTTTTATAAGGGGTGCGCTTATAATTGAGGATCGGCCATAAGCACATTGCTCCAAATATAAGCGCATGCGTTTAACATAGGCCTGCACTTATATCCCGGGTGTGTCAGAATATAATGCTTGTCTAGTCTGTAGTGGGGTACTCAATAATGAGTATACCCTTTTAGGGCTTGCTATTTGTACCTCCCTTCTTTCTAGTCAACCCCTCTTTTGCCTAATTCTCTCTTGCCTAGCTAGGTAAACTCTAGCTATGGCTCCTCACTATACCTACTACTCTCACATGGAATCAGAGCTGTTATGCTCTTGGCCTGTAGGCCCGCCTACTGCTTCCGCTGCTACTGTTCTGCTGGTCGCGCGCCCGGGGCGCGCGACACTTTTTCGCGGTTTTCTGCCCGCCATGCGCTTGGGACGCGTGGCGGTTTCCGTCGACCCGCGCGCCCGTCTCCGTCAACCTTCGCGCGGCTCCCCGTCGCCCTTCGCGGCGGCCCCATCGACCCGCCCGCGGCTCCCCGTCGCCCTTCGCGGCGGCCCCGTCAACCCGCACGCGGATCTCCGTCGCCCTTCGCGGCGGCCCCGTCGACCCGCGCGCCGCCCCTGGGGACCTGTGCGCTCATCTCCGTCGCCCTGCGCCCCCCCCCCCCCCCCCCCCTCCTCGGCACACCTGAGTTTGCTTACCGCACACCTGAGTTCGCTTCCCGCACACTTGTGCACAATTCGCGCACACCTGAGCTCGCTTACCGCACACTCAGGGTATGGGGGTGACGGGTATGGGGGTGGCGGGTGTGTGAGCCGTCACCTGCTCCTCCTCCTCCTCCACCTCCCACTGCTATAGCTACCGCTGAGGGGGGTGGGTGTGTGGGAGCCGAAGGAGTGGTGCTAGGGGGGTGACATGGGAGTGGAGTTAGGGGTGAAGCAGTTAGGGTGTGTGTCAAGGGTGTGGGTCAGTTGGAAGAGGTTGTGTGGAGGTAGCTGTCGTGTCGCCTGCAGCGCCTGTAGTCCGTCGCCCTTGCTTCGGTAGCCAGTGAGCCTGTTGTCAACGGGAGTTGTTTGTTGGCCCCGTCCACGCTTGGGCGGAGCCGGCTTCGTGGTGGGGTGTACGGAAGGTACAGCCAACTTGCAGCAGTGGGCGACGCCGACTTGGGCGAGCTGGTCGACGGGGCTGGTCGACTTGCACAGGGCCACTGCAATGCCGCCGACTTGGGAAGCCGGCGGCCGACTTCAACTGGTGGTCGGTGCCGACTTGCAAGGTCGCCGACTTGGGAGGTCGCCGACTTCAAGAGGTCAGTCTGGAAGTCGGCGCCGACGTAGAAGGGGCGTCGACCTGGTGACGCCAACTTTGGGTAGCCGACTTGGGTGGTCGGCTGACAACTGCACCGGTCAACCAAGATACGTGGATGACAAGGTTCTGCGAAGGAGTGCGATGCTCGCCCAAGCAACGTTGGCCAGTCCGACCTCGGTGGTGGTATCCCGAGGCTGACGTGGCGGATCAGGTGGAGCCGTCAGCATGAAGATGACTTGGTGTGTGCGCTGTTCAGGTGACAAGGCTTAGCCCTCCAATCATCAACGAGCACCTGCAAAGTAGGTGCGCTGCTGTTCTACGGGAGCAACATTGGCACGCCGTCAACCTGCAGCGTTGGCACGCTGTTGACTTTGCACTACTGGAGCGCGGTCGACCAAGTCGTGCTCGAACGCGGTCGACCATGCTGTGCTGGCACTCGACTGACCTGAATGCTAGCTCTGATGTAGTCTTGCTATGCCAACTTGATTGTGCCTTATTTTTTCAACTTTCTCTAGTGAAACTCTTGCCAATATTGCTCCATGAATTAGCAAGCAGTTTGAGCACTAGAAAAACGACTAAGAACCAACGAACGCAGATATCACATGATTACCCGTGCCTAGCCCATAGTCTAGCTCCCGTTGTAGGAGTTATCTCCGCATGGTGCGGTGAGCGTGGAAGGTACACGACTTACCTTTCACTCAGGTCGACGTAGACACCACTTACCTATTTCGTAGTTACAGGCCGGCAACTGTGCGGTAGTCACTATGGTAGGAGCCGTAGGTGACGCGGGGGTGGTGGACACCTTGGAGGCACGGTTGGAGAACGCGAGGAGGAAGCACGAGGCCAACGAGTATGGCGACTTGCCCTGGTCGGTCGTCGAGGCTGGACTCTGCTCCATGTGGGCGACGGAGCACCCGTCTCGACCTGCCTCTCCTCGTCCGATGAACAACGAAGGCGGCGTCGACGTGGGCGTCAACGCCGGTGGTGGTCAAGTCGGCAGCAGTGCAGGAGGCACGTCAAGGCAGAGAGGTGTGATACACGCCGGTGAAGTCGGCGGCGTTCAGGCGCGAGGGATGCAGTCGGCGGCAGCTGCAGGCTCTTCGCAGGGTGACGTCGGAGGTCGATGGAGTGGGCTGTCGCCGATGTCAGCATCGTAGGTGACGGCAGGTGGAATTGCGCCGAGCTACGGCTAGTTCAGGCCGGCAACTGTGCGGTAGTCACTATGGTAGGAGCCGTAGGTGACGCGGGGGTGGTGGACACCTTGGAGGCACGGTTGGAGAACGCGAGGAGGAAGCACGAGGCCAACGAGTATGGCGACTTGCCCTGGTCGGTCGTCGAGGCTGGACTCTGCTCCATGTGGGCGACGGAGCACCCGTCTCAACCTGCCTCTCCTTGTCCGATGAACAACGAAGGCGGCGTCGACGTGGGCGTCAACGCCGGTGGTGGTCAAGTCGGCAGCAGTGCAAGAGGCACGTCAAGGCAGAGAGGTGTGATACACGCCGGTGAAGTCGGCGGCGTTCAGGCGCGAGGGATGCAGTCGTCGGCAGCTGCAGGCTCTTCGCAGGGTGACGTCGGAGGTCGATGGAGTGGGCTGTCGCCGATGTCGGCATCGTAGGTGACGGCAGGTGGAATTGCGCCGAGCTACGGCTAGTTCAATCACGCCGGACAGGATCTCAGTCACCCCCCCACTGGTCGGTCGACCCAACATTCTCACCTGGAAGGAAGCTATCGAGCCCCAGCTGGAGATGGACGGGCTGATCGGCTTCGCCCGAGAGACCGTGGCGACACCGAAGGAGCACCACCCCGACTTGCGGGCGGAGTTTTGCGCCGTGCAGCTGTTCACCTTCACGGTCATCTCGCGGTGCTGCTCGCCGGGCGTGCAGATTGCCTTAAAGTGGTGCCGGGAGTACATCGACGCCGGCCACCGGGCGTGGCACTTCATTGAGTTGACGTACCAGGTCACCGACGACCTGTTCATCGCCGAGCAGGAGGGATAGCTGACGCACTTGCGTATGGGTGACGAGGAGACAGCGACTGACTACTACAACCGAGCCCGGCAAATTCTCGCCACTATCAGGATGGCCAGCGCGCAGTACTCCACAGCGACGTACATCACCCATGTCATGCAGGGAATTTCTAGGAGCTATAACCTCTTGAAGCGGCTGTTCATGGCGCCGAGCACAAGGGCGACGCTCAACGAGGACAACCTGACCTCGTACATCCTGTAGGACGAGGCGATGCAAGAGGCTGAGCGGTCACAGGAACTCTTGGTGCAGGCCAACTTCGTCGCCCCAACGAAGCAAGGAGGCCGACCGGGGCAGTGTGGACAATCCGGCGGTGGTGGTAGCAGTGGCTGGAAGCTGGCCAAGGAGGTTGACCAGAAGAACTCGACCAAGAACAGCGGTCGAGGAGGAGGAGGTCGACGACAGGAGTGCTGGCTGTGCGGCGACCCCGACCACCTCTCCTTCGAGTGCCCCGACCGCAGTGACTCCGACGACGATGACGCCAAGGGAGGCTGCGGGAGGTCTGGCAGTCGTCGCCCTCGTCGAGGAGGAAACAAGCCGCGCAAGGAGAAGCAGTTGATGCCATCGACCTCGGCGAAGGACGCCGACTCCTCTGCAGGCGGCAAGGGGCGGGACCACAAGACGACGTCGTGCTCGCTGTGTCAAATTATATTATTGTGTAGGCTATAGTGGGGTAGCCTATATGGGGTACACATTTCTAGGGTTGCATATTTGTATCACTTCCATTCCTTAGTCATTCATTCTCGTCCTAAGTTTCTCATGGTATCGAGCAGGTTCCCTAGTGGGAACTGTACCTAGGGCCCACCACATCGAAAAGTTTTTTTTTTTCCTGCCCGTAGCGCGCTCAGCCCGAGTCGCGCTCCCCTCTCTCGTTTCGTCGAGCCGCCCTTGCGGCTGATCGCGCCGCCCTCGCGGCCCCGTCGCCCTAGCGGCCCCGTCCCCTTGGCGGCCCCGTCCCCTAAACGGCCCCGTCGCCCTAAACGGCCCCGTCCCCTTAGCGGCCCCGTCACCTAAACGGCCCCGTCGCCCTAGCGGCCCCGTCCCCTACACGGCCCCGTCACCTAAACGGCCCCGTCGCCTAAACGGCCCCGTCACCCTAAGCGGCCCCGTCGCCCTAGCGACCCCGTCCCCTAAACGGCCCCGTCGCTCTAAGCGGCCTCGTCGCCTAACGGCCCTAAGCCGCCCCGTCGCCCTAAGCGGCCCTCTCGCCCGAGCGGCCCTCACTTGCGGCCCCGTTGCCGCCCACACCTGCGGCCCCGCCGCCCTCACCTGCGGCCCCGTCGCCGCCCTCACCTGCGGCCCCGTTGCCGCCCTCATCTGCGGCCCTGTAGCCGCCCTCATCTGCGGCCCCGCCGCCCTCACCTGCGGCCCCGTTGCCGCCCTCACCTGCGGTCCTGCCGCCCTCATCTGCGGCCTCGTTGCCACCCTCACCTGTGGCCCCACCGCCGCCCTTCGCTGCGGCCCGTCGCCGCCCTCACCTGCGACCCCGCCGCCCTCACCTGCGGCCCCGTTGCCGCCCTCATCTGCGGCCCTGTAGCCGCCCTCATCTTCGGCCCCGCCGCCCTCACCAGCGGCCCCGTCGCCGCCCTCACCTGCGGTCCTGCCGCCCTCATCTGTGGCCTCGTTGCCACCCTCACCTGTGGCCCCACCGCCGCCCTTCGCTGCGGCCTGTCGCCGCCCTCACCTGCAACCCCGCCGCCCTCACTTGCGGCCCCGCCGCCATCCATTGCTGCAGCGCCGCCCGTCGCCTGAGCCGCCCCATCCAGCCGAGCCGCCGACCGCCGCGACGCCCTGCAGCAGCGCGACTGAGCAGCCAAGCCGCCCAAGCCGCCCCAGCTGCCCAAGCCGCCCGAGCCGCCCAAGCCGCCCGAGCCGCCCGAACCGCCCGAGCCGCCTGAGCTGCTGTGGAGTCGAGCCGCGGGTGCAGTAGAGCCGCAATTGCTGCCGAGCTACCCGAACCGTCCTGTCTGGTGAGCGCAGAGCTTTTGTCACTGCACTGCCCCTCCCCTACTGTTAGCACTGCTTGTCTACTGCTGTCATGGCCACTCCCAGCGTTCTCGATTTTGATGCTGAGGGTCAGGCCATTGAATTTGAGGTCTAGGTCGACGACCTGCAGCTGTTCTTACAGTGCGATAGGGCGAACAGTCTTTCTCTCTTTGACCTCACCTCTGGCGCCTCCCCTGCCCCTACTGCCGATGCTGACGCCACTGTTTGCTCACCGTGGGCTACTCGCGATGCTGCTGCACGTCTTGCTGTGCGTCGCCACCTGCCTACCACTGAGCGAGCGCACTTTATTCAGTACAAGAGTGCTCAGACCTTGTACGACGCTGTAGTTGCGCGCTACTCTTCCCCTGCCACTCCTACACTGAGCCGCCTCATGCTACCGTACCACTTCCCTGACCTTGCTGCCTTTCCCACAGTCGCTGACCTCATTATGCACCTCCGCACTAGTGACACTCGCTACCGCGCCGCGCTTCATGCTAAGTTTTGCGCCAAGAACCCCCCCCTCCCATGTACATCACTCTCTATTATATAGCCACCCGCCTCTACCGCTACGGCCGACCTCGTTGGTCTTGAGTCGGTTGGTGCGGCGTCTGCCCCTAGCGGGAGACGCCGCTCTGGCAAGGGCAAGGGGGGCAAGGGAGCGGGTGGAGCTAGCGGGGGCGGTGGAGGTGGCGGTGGAGGCGGCGGAGGGAGTGGGGGTGGTGGTGGGAGTGGTGGTGGGGGTGGAAGTGGCGGTGGCAGCAGCGGAGGCAGAGGCGGCGGAGATGGTAGCGGTGGGAGCGGAGGCGGCGGTGGTGGCAGAGGTGGAGGCGGCGGTGGTGGAGAAGGTGGAGGTGGTCGGGGTGGTGCTTCGCAGCGGAGCGGCTCCGGTGGTGGTCAGCGCTAGCAGCAGCAGCGCTCTCGGGACATCCCCCCTCTTCAGCAGCTCCGTGAGTGGTACACGCAGCGTCAGCGTGGTGGGGGTTTGTTCCGGCGACCGCGCGGGTGAGCAGTGTGGGGGTGCCCACCCCACCCAGCGCTGCTTTGGTTGCCTGACAGACGCTTGGCGTCAGCAAATCCCGGAGGCTAGTGAGATCCCCCGCTGGGGAGAGCTGTCTGGGGCAGGTGTAGCTATCTATGATCTTGACTATGATGCTATCCTTGCTGCCATATATGTTGTGAGTATTAGTGATGAGGGTGACTGTTATCGGTGTTTCCCGCCCGACTTGGGCATTGGTACTGCTGCGCTAGGTGCTAGTGAGGCTGCTGCTCTAGGTGCCAGCGCGTCTGCGCCCTCAGGTACTGGTGAGGCTGCGCTCTCAGGTACCGCGTCGGCTTCGGCCTCCCTCACCTTCACACTTGACTCAGGGGCTTCTCGCTCCTTCTTTCGAGACCGCACCACACTCACGCCGCTTGGTCGGCCGGTTGTAGTCTCCCTGGCTGACCCCTCTGCGGGACCTAACCTCTCTCACTTCTCTATTGTCCTCCGTGTCCGGCTGCCCACTCTGGTTCCTTGTCTGGTCTTTACCTCCCCTCGTTCTCGACAAACTTGGTAAGTGGTGCTGACCTACAGGATGCGGGGGTTCACCTGTTTACTCCCGCGAGTCAGCGGGTGACCCACTGGTCGGACGCACGTACGGGCCGACACCTGGCCACGTTTTCGCAACGCCCGGGGTCGAGTCTCTACACCCTGACCACTGGGTCCCCTCCTGTCCCTGCGTTTGGCCAGGTAGCTGCGTCGGGTCTGGTGTTTGCTGCAGTGTCCAGGTCTGGTCCTGAGTCTGCCACCTGCTCGTGTCGCCTCCCGTCTCACGAGACTCTCCTGTGGCACCACCGTCTTGGACACCCTTCCCTGCCTCATCTCCGAGGCATGGCTTCCCGTGTCCTTGTCTCTGGTCTTCCCCTGTCCCTCCCTCCCCTTCCTCCAGGGCCTGGTCCTTCCTGTGTCCCCTGTGCCGAGGGGCGGCTCCGGGCTGCCCGTCACTCCTCTCAGTTTTCCCCGACAGAGGCCCCGCTGCAGACGCTTCACATGGACGTGTGGGGCCCGGCCCGCGTCCGTGGACAGGGTCACGCGCGCTACTTCCTGCTGGTGGTTCACTACTACTCGCATTACACCATAGTCTTCCCCTTGCGCACCAAGGGCAATGTCACTGAGGTGTTGATCGACTGGATCCGCGCAGCTCGTCTCCAGCTCAGGAGGAGCTTCGGCTCGGACTTTCGTGTTCTGCGTCTGCACTTCGACCGAGGTGGAGAGTTCTCCTCTGGCCTTTTCCGAGCCTACTGTCGTGCACGAGGCATATGCCAGACCTTTACGCTTCCGGGATCTCCACAGCAAAATGGGATTGCTGAGCGCCGCATTGGCATGGTCATGGACGTCGCTCGTACGTCCATGATGCATGCGGCTGCCCCCCATTTTATGTGGCCGTTTGCGGTCCGGTACGCGGCGCATCAGATCAACCTTCAGCCCAGGGTCTCCAGGCCGGAGACCTCCCCAGCCTTGCTGTGGACGGGGATGGTCGGCGATGCGTCTGCGTTCCGTGTCTGGGGATCTCGGACGTTTGTCCGCGACTTGTCTGCGAACAAGCTGTCCCCCCGTGCTGCTCCCTGTGTCTTCCTTGGCTTCGCCACTGACGCCCCTGGGTGGCAGTTCTACCACCCCACCTCTTGTCGTGTTCTGTCCTCCAAGGACGTCACGTTCGACGAGTCAGTCCCCTACTACCGCCTCGTCCCCTACCGCACCCCTTCCCTCCCCCCGCCGCGGCACTTCCTTGTGGCGGGTCCTGCCCCTTCAGGTGTGTCCCACGTAGACGTAGTCGAGCCGGTCGAGGTTGCTGGTGACTCTGGTACTGCTGCGGGTGCTGAGCCTGGGGGTGCTGACTCTTGGGGTGCTGCTCAAGTGGGTGCTGAGCCTGGGGGTGCTGAGCCTCGGGGTGCTGAGACTGGGGGTGCTGAGCCTGGGGTGCTGAGCCTGGGGGTGCTGAGCCTGGGGGTGCTGAGCTTGGGGGTGCTGGGCCTGGGGGTGCTCCGATTGAGGGTGCTGAGCTTGGGGGTCCTTTGCGTGGGGGTGCTGCGTCTGGAGCTACTGAGCGTGGAGGTGCTGAGTCTGGATCTGCTGAGCCGGGGGTGCGGAGCCCGCAGCCACTAGACCTGTTCATGTGGCGTCTGGCGGTGCTGGGCCTGGTGGTTCTACGGGTGCTTCGTCTCGGCGAGAGCCACTCTCTCCACAGGAGCTGCGCGAGTGGTTTGCCTGGCGCTGGAGGCGTACTGCTGGAGCTGGTACTTCTTCGGCTACTGAGGGTGCTGGTGCCGCCGGTCTCAAAGGTGCTAGTCGTGGGAGTACTGGAGCTGCTGGGCCTGCGAGTGCTACTGGAGTCGGAGCTGCTGAGGGTGTTGGTGCAGAGGCTACTGTTGTCAGTCCTGGTGGCGGTTCTGGTGCGGGTGCTGTTGGTGCTGCTGGAGGTACTGGAGCTGGAAGTGCTGTTGGCGCTGGCGCTGGTGCTGGAGGGTCCTGGTGCTGTCCCTGCTGTGTCTGGAGTCGCCGCGCGGCCTCGGCCGTACTTTGTTCCGCTCCTTCAGCAGGTTCTTGGTCTTCCTCCTCCCTTAGAGTGTCCACCGCCTGTCCAGTCAAAGTCCCAGTTATCGCCGGCCTCCCCACTGCCTGCTCCTTCTCCCTACGCTGGTCCTACCGGAGGTCTTGCTAAGCGTCGTGAGATTGCGTCTCGTCCTGCGTTGCCTGTTCGTGCTGCTCGCGCTAGTGGTCGCAGTTCGCGTCAGCGTCCTCCTCCTGTCCGTGGCACGCACCGCATGTCTCTGCGTCCGTCCACTGCTCCTCTGCGTGCCCCTTTGCCTTCTCCTCTAGAGTCCTCTCTTCCTGCTCTTGCCGACCCAGAGTCGGACTCTCTTCGTGCTGCCAGTCCTACTGTCACGCGTCTCCTTGCTACTGTCGTCACTGGCCCTTCCTTTGAGTCCACTACTGCGTCTGCTCTAGTTACTGAGCTCGTTGACTTTGCTGCTCGCTATCGTCTAGACTACGCTGCTAGTCTCGTTGCTGAGTCTGCGTCTGTCTGTCCTCCGTCCGTCGGGGGTGAGTGTGCACTTGGCACGGACGTCCTCGAGGACAGGCAGGAGGAGTTCCAGTGTCTGGCAGCTGCTTCACCTCATCTCGCATCTGTACTGCTTATTCCTGAGGGAGACCTGAATGCACTAGACATCCCGACTCCGCGCTCTTACGTGGAGGCCGTAGAGGGTCCCTAATCCTCTTAGTGGTAGGCAGCTATGGATGCAGAGATGGCTTCCTAGAAGTCCACACGCACCTACGTTGACGCGGTCCCCCCTCCTGGGGCGAACATCGTCAGTGGCATGTGGATTTTCAGGGTGAAGCGGCTGCTGGGCTCTCCACCTGTCTTCAAGGCGCGGTACGTGGCTCGTGGCTTCAGTCAGCGGCAGGGAGTTGACTACTTCCAGACCTTCTCTCCCACCCCGAAGATGACCACTCTTCGGGTGCTGCTACACATAGCCGCTCAGCGTGACTACGAGCTTCACTCCCTTGACTTCAGCACTGCTCTCCTGCAGGGTAGCCTGCACGAGGAGATCTGGCTGCGTCGTCCACCTGGATTCACTGGGACTTTCCCTCCTGGCACCCAGTTGAGCCTCCGACGGCCAGTCTACGGTCTCCGCGAGGCTCCGCGCGAGTGGCACGACGCACTGAGGACTATGCTTTCGGCTCTTGGGTTTGCTCCCTCTACTGTTGACCCGTCGTTGTTTCTGCG